GCAGGGCCAGGGCTTGTCCCCGGGGCTTGTCCCCTGTGCTGTGACAGTGAGCTGTGCCAGCCGGGGCACTGCGGTCCCTTGCGCTGCTGGGGCTGGTGGCAGCGGGGCTGGTTGGTGGCAGCGGGGCTGGTGGCAGTCAGGCTGGTGGCAGCGGGGCTGGTTGGTGGCAGCGGGGCTGGTGGCAGTCAGGCTGGTGGCAGTGGGACTGGTTGGTGGCAGTGGGGCTGGTTGGTGGCAGTGGGGCTGGTTGGTGGCAGTCGGGCTGGTGGCAGCGGGGCTGGTTGGTGGCAGTAGGGCTGGTTGGTGGTAGTGGGACTGGTTGGTGGCAGTGGGACTGGTTGGTGGCAGTGGGGCTGGTTGGTGGCAGCGGGGCTGGTTGGTGGCAGCGGGGCTGGTTGGTGGCAGTGGGACTGGTTGGTGGCAGTCGGGCCCCCAGAGCCCCTGTGGGCAGGAGGTTCGTGCATTGATTTCCTTTCACTCTGCAGTGGACACCACGTGGGTTGCCCGGTGCCCCAGTTTTCTCTTTGGCAAGAGCCATCCTTACTCCCAAACTGTCCTCACTGCTTTCCTGTATTCCCTCTGATATAAACCAACTGCTGAGAGGCTGGTTTGCTCCGCGCTGCAGCGCTTCACAATCAGCCTTTGATTCAGTCTGTTGATTTATTAAGTCTAATTTGGTTCCAATACTTTTGTCTGTGACTTGGATCTATTTATTCTCCTTGGCTCTTTTAGGTCACATCAGTTTGTTGTGTCTCGCCCCCAATCTCCTATGCATTAGCTGATTCCTGTAGGTGGGTTTTCTGATGGAGTAGGTATTGCACTTGTACCTGGATTCAGGTATTTAATCTTTTTATGACATATTCATTTTCACTCACCAAGTTTTCTACATTTCTTAAAAATTTTAAAATAAGAGTCACTACTGATTTATCTCCCAGTGTTCTTCTGGGTTTTTTTCTTTTGTTTGTTTGGGGATTTTTGTTACTTTTTTCTTCCTGTTTGGTTTTTATTATTATTATTTTTATTTAATCTGGCGAACCCACAGCTCTGCTCTACAGCACTGCTTAACTGTTTTTTAATCCAAGTTCCTTTTTTATTTCCTTCTGGTAGCTGAATAGCAGATGATTTATCTCATGTACCATTTTATTTTCTCTAGGGTCTGAGGATTATTTAAAATGCAAGAGAAAAAAAATAACATATTCTGGTTTTAATTGAAAAGAATTTCCAATATTTAGAGCTCTAGTATTTACTAAAGTAGGTTAGAATAATACTTTTTCATAAGTCAGATGCCACATTTCAGCTACAATGTACGGTGCAATTAAATAATATGTTGAATGTGAGTGGACACAAATTAGTAATGCAGTCTTAGTCTGAAATGTTCAACCAGCTGAAATGTTGAACTCCTTGTCTTTTATCTCCTTGTTACAAGGAGAGATAAGAAACTTCAGTGCATGGTGGGCTGTCCCAGAGTAAATGGTGTGCTGTGACTTGGGCTGCAGTGTGACATGTTAGCATCCCTTGATTTGTTCAAATTGATGGTTGACTAAATCCTTTTATTTTGTGCAGACCTGGTTTGTATGTGATTATAAAGGAATCTGGCAGTGGTGCACCTTTGGGTGTAGCAGTGGGAAAGAGCGGGGCTTTGGACATGGCCAGGAGGGATTTTCAGGATTGCTCTGGGCCAGGGGGACCTGCTGTGTCTTTTCTGAGGTCTGAGTTGTTGCTGATAGTTGTCCTTTCCATCCCTGGAGAAGCCAGAATGAAAAAAAAAAGCTAGAGGGAAGTGGGAGACAAATGAAAAGTGACTTGGTGTCATTTTGTTCTGCGTGCAGATGTCAGCAGTGCTGGTTAGCCTAGGCTGCTCTGCAATTCTTTCCAGCATTTTCCTTGGTTCTTAATACAGCAAGGGGAGAAGCAATAGGGTTCCTCCAGTGAGTGTTGGAAAATGGTTTTCCTACTTCGTCGTGTTCAAGTGCCATTTAAAGTTTCTGCAAATATCTTTTTTCCCCAAAGCTAAAAAATCATCTGTCAGTAGATGTTGTTGGTTTTTTTACTGCTATTTTATGTGCAGTACTACTATCATTCATTCAGTGATGTTTGTTTTCTTTTTTTAGCAGTAAAGGAAAACATTAGTGGCAGACAGAGTTTGATGCTGGTGCTGGACATCACCTTCCATCCTCAGAGATGGTTTTCTAGAGGGCCTTTGTGTGTGCAGCTCTTCCTCTGCTTGGCCCATTAATGGGGGCAACAGGATGTGCACTCTGCTAATGAGGAGTCATGCTATGCAAACAACAGTCTCTGAAGGGAACAGGGGATCAGGGCAGCGTGTGCTTGTGCTATCAGAACCTGTCTGCCTTCATCTAAATTCCCCACACATCACTTAGGAGAAATGAAGCAAATATATGCTACAACAAGGAGCCCTAAAGAGACACAGTGAAACCTATAAAAAACAACAGCCAAAGGATTTTTTGGTCTGAAAGCTGTCCCTGCACAGTAATTTGCAAGACAGTTTCCAGTCCCATCTGCTGTCAGGCACTGCCCTGATTCAGTGCTGATTCAGTTCACCTTTCATAACACCATGGCTCAGACCCACAGTTGCTTGGGTGTCTAACTAGTGACTCCTGGGTCTCCCCACATTTCTGTGCATGTGAGCACTTGTGTTTTGTCAAGAATCTCCACTGCAGGAAACATAATTCTGTCTTTACCTGACATTCAAATTGTTTATCCTTTTGAAAAAAACACCTTACAGATAGGATTTCTAGGGGCTGTGCCATCAGAATATGAAAAAGCACTCCTGAGCCATTATTGCAGGGCTGGGAAGAAAATGTGGTGGTTTTAAAGCAATCTGTTGATAGGTATTCTTGGGTGTATTGATGGCATTCCACTCAGTCAGCCAGCTGGCCTCAAAACTGAGCCAACAGTAGTATATGTGTTACAAAACTTTGAGCAGGGCTGTTGCATGGCAACTGCTTAGCTAACATTTGTATTAGTGGATTCCTTTGAGAATTTTCGAAGTTTTTCAGTGCTTGATTGAAAAAAAAAAAAAAAAGGCAAGCTTACCAGCAGCTACTCAGTCACCTGCATTTTATGTGGAAATGAAAAAGAGAGGGGTAATTCCTTACCAATGGCAGTGAAATGCATATGGAATGGAAGACAGATTGTGTATGATGTTCTTCAGCTCAGGTGCCACTGGGAGCTGCCAGCAGCTGAAGGAGTGCTGGGCATGTACTTAAAGCTACATGGGGCATTTCTAATTAATGAGATCCACTTTTGCCACCAGTATTTATAAACAAGAGTGAAAGGGAACAAAGGTCCCAGCAGCCGTGCCAGCTTTTCTCTGCTGGAGAAGTATATCTTCCCTTAAATGCCTGCTAACATTTGCAAGACAAGCACACAAAAAGCAGAGTTGTGGTCCCTGGCTGTCTGCCATTTGATAACAAATGCTGCATTCCTCTTCCAGCACTGCGGCAATTCAGGCCTGTTGGCAAGGGCGCTGCCAAGCCTCTGACCTGGCTCTGTGGTGTCAGGCTTGCATGGCCATCATTTTCACTGATGGTCTGTTAATTTGAAAGTGGTATGGAGGACAGCCTGCCTTCATCTTGGGGATTGCCAGTTGTGCAAGAGGTGTGTGTGGGTGTCATCTGGCATTGCAGCCTGCGTCCTGGGGACAGACTTTAGAAGGACGGGGAGCTGAGAGGGGATTCTCCTGTCTGGCCAAGTAGTGCTTAAAGCAACATGGAAGGGTTGCAAGAGGAGAGGGGTGCAAGAAACAAAATGTTTTATGCTACTCAGCTGCAAAGCCCCAGCCTAGCTACGACCACAAGTTCCTTTACAGACTTCACTTTAGGCCTTTGGGGACTGCAGTACCTCCTGAGGACCAGATGGGCAGGCAGAGACAGAGCAGTCCCTGAGAAGGTGCCAAAGGGAACATCCTTCCACATGTGTATGGCCAGTTAGTGGGGGTCAGTTCTAAATCCTTAGGATGGCTGTACACTTGCAATGAATTGCAGCCATTAGGGCTTGAAGCATTCCCTTCCTGTTCCCTGGCTCTGAATGAACTGAATCCAATAAGTTCTTGAGCAGCCTCTCAGCAAGTGTGTGCTTATCACTAAGCCTGCGCAGAAATGGACGTCACCAAACCCACATTAATGGGTCCCAGTGTGCAGCTGAATCAGGATTATAGACTTCCAGTGTTACTGTGATATGAACTGATTGTGATGAGCATTTATGATGTTAGTTAATGGACAAATTTTGTTAATTGCCCTTGGGAGTATTTTTGTTACATTCCCATCTGAATTTATCTTTCCACTGTAACTTACTAAGGAGTTTCAGTACTGGTTTGATCTCAGGGATTCAGTTACACAGTATGCTGTAGGCTTTAGTATCAGTTGCTTTGCCTGTACATGCTCATGTGTTAGCTGATTTTTCAGAGGACATGATGATGTAAGCCTACACATCTGAGGTGAAGATAAAGCCCTTGATCTGGCTGTAGTTTTGGTTACCTAAACCACTTTAGGAACTTGCATTCAAAACATAGTAGATTTAAAATTGCAGTGAGTATGCACAAAAATATTTCAAAGCATTCCTGAAACCACTATGGAAGTGAGTGAAACTTGACAGCTAAAAAGGTGTGTGAAGTTTGAAAGCAGGACAAGCATTTCAGCCAGACCTTTGAGATCACAGCTAATGTGTGTGATGCTCAACATCTCTATCTGCCGAATGGGCTGATTTTCAAGGATGCAGAAGGGCTCACTGACCCATCAGAGATGGCTGGAGTCAACAGGGAGAGGGATTTGCCTACCTGCATGGATGGCATTGCAGGCTCTCCCTTCCAGGAGCTGTGTAGTGGCAGCACGAGCATCCCTCTTCTGAGGTGGGGTGTCAGTAGCTGGGAGCTTCTGTGCCAGTCTGGGGGTTCCATTTTCAGAGGAGGCTCTTTCACTTGCTCTCACAGGGTGAGGGCTGTGATGTGCAGAGGCTGAGCTGGCCGTGCTGTTTTGCAGGAGGATGATTCCCGTGACCGAGTTCCGGCAGTTCTCGGAGCAGCAGCCGGCGTTCCGCGTGCTGAAGCCCTGGTGGGATGTGTTCACCGACTACCTCTCGGTGGCCATGCTGATGATCGGCGTCTTCGGCTGCACCTTGCAGGTGAGCACAGGCACAGACTCCTGCCTGCTCCTGGGCTGCTGAAAGAACAGCACAAACGAGGAAGGGCCTTGGAAGGATGCTGTCCCATCTTGTTTTATCTCTTGGGCTCACAGTGAACAAAGCAAAAATGTGCTGGTCCCAGGATTAAAGCTGTTTAAGTAGCAACATCAAATAACACAGACCAGACTTTTAGCAGCTGTGAATCAGCAGACTTGCATAGAGTCAATGGAACTGTGCCAACTAAGATAAGAGCTGTTCTTTTGGCTGGTGTCTGCATCACTGTTTTCACCTCAGTTTGGCATAACAAAACAGATTATCAACTTCAGTTCCTTTTTGTTACCATTTTTGCTGTTTGAAAGTTTAAAAAATAGAATTCTGTAATTCCTGTTTCTCTTTATTTGGCAGATGTTAACCATTGTTTCTGTCATTATGCTTTTAAGAGATTTGAAATTAATGTGCTGATTTTATTAACGACACCCACGGCTAATATTATGTCTCTTCCATTCCAAAATGTCTCTGAGGCTGCTTACACATAAACAATTGACATTACTGTCAGTCACTATTAGTTACATTTTTCTGAGGAGCCAAAAGCAGAAAAGAAATGAAAAATACTGTTTGGGATGACTCTACAAAAATATAAAGTTACAGTACTGGTTCAAGCATGGATCTCACATTTCTTGGCATGACTTTGAAATGGAGCTAAAGGGACACATTGACAGAGCTCTTATTTCAGAGGAATTTGCTCACTTACATGGCCTAGGATTTAGATATACCATGTCCCAAATTTCACATGAAATCCACTGTAGTTTTGCCTGTATCCTCCATTCTCAACTATTTTTAGTTGATACAACATTCATGTTTAAAAATCTCTTTATATAGCTAAATTTTGCATTAGTAGATGTTTGCTTAACCACACAAAGTAAATAATCTGTTATATCAGTTACCTGTTTTAAGTTTACCTGCTTGATTGGAGAAGGCACACTGGAAAATAGTGTTTGGAAAGACTGAAATAATAGACAAATGGTTTTTTATTCCAACTTATTGTGAGATACATAAATCCAGGGTGTAACTGCGGGTGTATATCACAGCAGCAGACACTTTACAGACATAGATGAACTACAGAAGTTTTTGATGTGTTGGAAGTTTTTGTTGTGGCACTGATACTGTTCAAAACATGTGTGGTCTTACCTCAGCATCTCCCTACACCAGGGTGGATCATCAAGGATCATCTGATTTTGGTAGCTCTCGTTGGATACCTTATGTTTAGCGCTTTCAACAGCCATGATGTCAAAGAGTACATCTGCACTGCACATATGTTCTTAGTTTGGGCTAATCACAGGTAGTCATTCAGGGCAAGTAAGAGAGCTCCTTGGTTTATCACGTGGATTGGCATTTTAGTTCAGACCTGTAGGGAGCCTTGCATTGAACTTAGAACTGTTATCCCAAATTAAACCAAAGGTGATTGGTCCCTAGAGGCACTTTGACCTCAGTTTGTCAGCATGGATGACCGTCCCAGATTAAGAAAACTTCTTGTTTGGTTTTTTTTATAGACAGACTCAAGAACAGAGCTAGATCATTTCCCCCAGGTGTGTAGTCCATCCTACAGAGGGCCCTCATAGACAGGATCTTTGGACAAGGGCATGTAGTGATAGGACGGGGAGTAAGGGCTTTTAGCTGAAAGACAGTAGGTTTAGATTAGCTATTGGGAAGAAATTCTTCACTGTGAGGATGCTGAGGCAGTGAAACAGGTTGAAGTTCCCAGAGAAATTGTGGATGCCCTATCCCTGGAATAGTAGATGATCTTTAAGGTCCCTTCCAACCCAGATCATTTTATGATTCTGTGAGGACTCTATGTGTATGTGTGAGAAACTAAATAAAATTTATGTCCTTGTACACACAAATGCCATCAAAGAACTGTCCTTATCTGTCTTTATTAAGACTGAAGATTCATAATGTCCCTGCATAGATAAAGTCACATTAGCCCTTTGTCAGCAGTTTTTGGTGTGGTAAGACATAACAGTGTGAGAGTGAAGCCACATGAATGCAGTTGTGCTGCTGTCAAGCCTAAGCTATCTCTGAACATCATGTAGCCAGGATGAATACACCTGGCAGTAACAGTCTGTCTCTGGGGAGAGCAGAGCAGGAGATCCCTGGTCTTTTCTGGAAGCATTCCCCACATTTCTCCTTTTTCTGGATTGTGTCAATGCCCTCTTATTCAAATTATGGAAAGCTAGCTGTAGATGGAAAGGGGTGGCCTAGTTCTTGGCATACAGAACAAGAGTCTTGTTGAGAATAATAATAGTGCAGCCTGTGGGGACAAGTAGCAGGCTGTGTGGAGGAATGCCTGGCAGCTGGAGGTACTCCAAGGACAGCTACCCATTGGTGCTGCCACCATTGTTTGTACGTCAGTTCAAAAGATATCTTTTTGTGTGTTCCAGGTCATGCAAGACAAGATAATATGCCTTCCAAAGCGCGTCCAGCCTTGCCAGAACCAATCTAACAGTTCAAATGTGCTTAGCACAATGCCAGACACCACCCCCCTTCCCCCACCGAGGCCATCCACCCCTCCAGCTACAGTTGAAATGAAAGGACTCAAGACTGACTTGGACCTTCAGCAATACAGCTTTATAAATCAGGTGTGCTATGAACGGGCTCTGCACTGGTATGCCAAGTACTTCCCTTACCTTGTCCTTATACACACACTGGTCTTCATGCTGTGTAGTAACTTTTGGTTCAAATTCCCTGGATCAAGCTCCAAAATTGAACACTTCATTTCAATACTTGGGAAATGTTTTGATTCCCCCTGGACAACGAGAGCTTTATCTGAAGTGTCAGGGGAAGACTCTGAAGAGAAGGACAACAGGAAAAACAACATTAACAAGTCTAATACTACTCAGCCAAGCACTGAAGGCACTTTGGTCAAGACACAGTCTTTAAAATCAATCCCTGAGAAGTTAGTTGTGGATAAGGGAACACCTGGGGCATTAGATAAAAAAGAAGGTGAACAGGCCAAAGCACTGTTTGAAAAGGTGAAGAAATTTCGACTGCATGTTGAGGAGGGTGATATACTCTATGTCATGTACGTTCGCCAGACTGTACTTAAGGTGATTAAATTCCTTATTATTATTGCTTACAACACAGCACTTGTCTCAGAAGTTAATTTTACAGTTGTCTGTAATGTTGATATTGAAGACATGACAGGATACAAGAACTTTTGCTGTAATCACACGATGGCACATCTGTTCTCTAAACTTTCTTACTGCTACCTGTGCTTTGTAAGCATCTATGGCCTGACATGCCTTTATACGCTGTACTGGTTGTTCTACCGTTCCCTGAAGGAATATTCTTTTGAGTACGTCCGGCAGGAGACGGGAATCGATGACATCCCAGATGTCAAGAACGACTTTGCCTTCATGCTTCATATGATCGATCAGTACGATCCTCTCTACTCCAAGCGCTTTGCTGTCTTCCTGTCTGAAGTCAGTGAAAATAAGCTGAAGCAGCTGAACCTAAACAATGAGTGGACTGCAGATAAACTGCGACAGAGGCTGCAGACGAACTCCCACAGCCATTTGGAGCTACAGCTTTTCATGCTTTCTGGACTACCAGACACAGTGTTTGAAATTACTGAACTGCAGTCTTTAAAACTTGAAATAATTAATAATGTAATGATACCAGCAACCATTGCGCAGTTGGACAATCTCCAGGAGCTCTCATTGCACCAGTGCTCTGTGAAGATCCACAGTGCTGCCTTGGCTTTTCTGAAGGAGAATCTCAAGATCTTGAGCGTCAAGTTTGATGACATCAGAGAACTTCCACATTGGATGTATGGCCTCAGAAATTTGGAAGAACTCTATTTAATTGGCTCCCTAAGTCATGATATTTCTAAAAACATTACACTGGAGTCTTTTCGGGAACTTAAAAGCCTAAAAGTTCTACACATAAAAAGTAATTTGTCCAAAATCCCACAATCTGCAGTTGATGTTTCAAGTCACCTGCAGAAATTGTGTATCCATAATGATGGCACTAAGTTAGTGATGCTCAACAACCTGAAGAAAATGGTCAACCTGACACAGCTGGAATTGGTTCATTGTGATTTAGAGCGCATACCTCATGCAGTCTTCAGCCTTCTCAGTCTTCAGGAATTGGATCTAAAGGAAAACAACCTCAAATCCATTGAAGAAATAGTAAGTTTTCAACATCTGCGAAAGCTGACCATTCTAAAGCTGTGGTACAACAGTATAACCTACATCCCAGAGCATATAAAGAAACTCACCAGTCTAGAGCGGCTTTCCTTCAGCCATAACAAAATAGAGGTTCTTCCGTCCCACCTGTTCCTATGCAACAAAATCAGATACTTGGATTTGTCTTACAATGACATTCGCTTTATCCCACCTGAAATAGGAGTTCTTCAGAGTTTACAGTACTTTTCCATTACTTGCAACAAAGTGGAGAGTGTGCCAGACGAACTGTACTTTTGCAAAAAACTTAAGACTCTGAAAATTGGGAAAAATAACTTGTCGGTCCTTTCACCTAAAATTGGTAATTTGACATTGCTCTCCTACTTGGATATTAAAGGCAATCACTTTGAAATCCTCCCGCCTGAGCTCGGTGAGTGTAGAGCTCTGAAGAGGACTGGTTTCACTGTAGAGGACAACTTGTTTGAAACTTTGCCTTCTGATGTCAGGGAGCAAATGAAAGCTGAATAACTTCTTGCTCAGTTTTACAGAAATAACACTTCTACCAAAAACGCTCTAAAGAATGCATACTCTGATTATGCATTTAATTTGTCGTTATTTTTTTCTTTTTCAAATCCTTTCTGTACAAACAAATTTGGAGTAAGGAGTACGTATATTTTTAAATAAAATTTTCTCATATTTTTTCACTGTTTTAAGATATTTTTAGTTTGTTTGCCCTGAGAACAAGGGCATCTGTAACTTAATTTTTACTGGTAAAAGTAAATGATTTTGTCTGTTTTTCTTTCCATTTCCTAATCCCACCAGGGAAACTGTGTTTAAGATGTATGCTTTGGGTTGCATAGTTTGTAAGAGATTATTATATTGTCTTCCTAGTTATTGTTAATCCCTTAGGACATGGTCTTCAACAGGTGGTGCTGCAGGTGTTGAATGCCTTTGTTTCGTCTTTTCTTCAGTGGCAGTAGAAGGTGTTCAACATCTAACAAGATCAAACCTAGGCTGACAATCCCTTTTTACTTACCACAGGGTTTTCTCAGATGGTCAAAGCAAGTGGAAAAGGTTCTTTATGTACTTTAACAGGTGAGAGGGAGCATGCAGAACTCCTTCAGGGCCTGTTGGCCATTCACACAGTGCACTGAGCAGGAGGCACTCACTGTGATTTCCTCTTTGGTGCAGGAAGAGTAAGGTCACAGTTCACAGTGGAATCGGGACCAAAGTGACTCATGTAATGGTTTTCCTAACAGTGCAAAGGGATGTGGCTGCCCATTTCCTACTAACTTGAGTGGAAGGGGTGCAATGAACTCACTATCTTGGAAGTGTCAACTCAGCAAGAAGAAATGCTGTCTTGAAAAACCCCATCCTCCCTTAAACACCAGTGCTGCAAGAGAGAAAGTGCCCTCTGCCCCCTCAGCCCGCTTCCCCCAAATTGCTTGGCACCTTGTAGGAATGGGATCCAGAAAAAGTGCAATCATGCTTCGTTTGTAAAGCTTCTGACAGGGAAATAGCCTCTAATATGCTCCTTGATTTAGCCTGGGTAGCATAAAACCAAGCTCAGCACAGGAACATTTGCAGATTTGCAAAAATGAGATTAAATTAATACATTAATTTCTCACAAGTCTCAGCCTACCCAGCATATCCAAGGACAGTGATGAAGGCTATGTTTTCATCTCCCTAAGAGTAACTAAATTGGAAATCGTACAGTTGGAAGTTTGCTTTGTAAAATAATGTAATCTCTGATGTGCATCATGTTGGGAACTTGATCCTCTGAAGCCATGTTCAACTGTTTACTTAATCCAGCCATTTGGTTTCTTTTAGTCAGGTTTTAAAGAGATGTGCTGCTCACAAGCTAATTTAAGCTAATCAAAAGTAGTAAGATATTTTGCTGGGAGGAGATCTCTGCATCGTATCCAACAACACATATTTGAATCAGATGCAGGCATTCAATAAATGTTTTGCAAGAATATCTGGGAAGAAGTCCTTATTTCACTAAGAGATAATACTGTTCATAAATTGCAGAGGTTAAATTGCAGTTTGTTCAAATTTATGTAAAATATTTGACAGTTGTCAGATTGGTTGCTCTTAAATGTTTTCTAACTGCCATTGTGTGTCTTGAGCTACAGTTAGTCTGAGTTCTTGAGCTTGGTACAAAAGCATACAGTTGGTATAAGAGTATAACTTAAAAAGGTGGGGAGACAAACTACAATGAGACCTTCCTCATTAATCCAGGGTGTGCTATGCAGTTTGGTGTGTGAGCTTGCCACAGTACCAGGTCAGACTTATTTTTTGCGCTTGGCTGTGTTCTGGAGAAGATCCAGATTAATCAAAAATGGGTCAGGCATGAAGGAATCAAATCAAGCTTTTTAAAAGGGGTTTGATTTAGTTCTATTTAAGACTTGTAATTGATGTAGCTATTGTAAGAGCTATCCTTACTTGTGTGTGGAATGCACTTACTGGAACAGTTTGGCAGTATATATATTCTAGATATATTTCACTATGATGTTATTTGAGGAAGAGAAAAATTTCATTGGTCATATTAACCTAATTATGTAAACCAAAGTGCTGTTGTCCCTGATGAATGTAAACTGTTTGAAATGTCCAGGTAATTGGTGGAGCTGTATAGTTCTCTTAGTTAGATTTTAAATACGGGATTACATTTAAAGTTTTTTTTAAAGACTTTATACTCCTTGATGTAGCATTTTAAACCCCTAATTTATTTTGTGTGTAATATTGTTTCATGTGTAGTTTGTGGTCTTGTTTCTGAATGGAAGTTATGCACATCTCATAACTGAAGGTTGGAGACATGTTCTATGCCATTTTTGTAAATACGTCACTTAGGGGATGTGGGGTTTTCTTTGTAACTGATTATATTTATACCAGTGCAACCCCTCATGTGGACACAGTTACAGAATATAAAGTGCCTTGTGCTGGCATATCTTTATTCACTGTGCAAGGAATAAACTATACCAGTCTAAGCACTTTGACACTACTAACTGTATCTTCTCCAAGGGTTTGGTCAGCTGAGACAACATCCTCAGTCTGACAGCTCACTGTCACCAAAAAGGGGCAGCTTCCTCCTCCTCCCATGCTCCCTGTTCCTGCCAACACCTTCCAGCTGCTTCTCATGTACCTTTACAGGTCTGGTGCTGGTATGATCCCTCCACAGGATAAATGAGCTTTTTAAGCCAGCAGAAAACCATGCCAGTCTAAAAAAGGGACTCATTTTCTGCTGGATCAGCTCTCTAAAGGATTGGATGGGCACTAGGATGGGAGTAACAAGGGGACAGGACTCTCAGCTGGGGTCTGTACAAGAAGTAGTCAGGGCAAGTCCCTTTGGAGATGCTGGGTCAGTTCATCATCTTGCCAAGTCATGTGCTTGGAGAACTGTGCTGTTTTATGTATAGCAGGGTGAGGCAGCTTGGCTTTTGTGAGTAGACAGCCCTCAGGCTCACAGTGGATGATAAAATATCACATTACTGTTAATTTCGTAATGAAACAAACTCAGGTAGCTGCACTGTTGACTTTTCTAAACCTCTTACTGTCTGTTCTGGGGTGTATTTTCCAAACCCATATTACAGTAACTTAGGAATGAGTCAGCTGAGGGAAGATTGTTTCCTAATTGTCTATAACATCCAGGAAAATATGTAAAAGTGCCATATTTACTCAGTGAATCATGTACTGCTCATATGTATATTCACGTGCAATTCATACTAGACTTTCTGTGACCAATAGTATTTGACTTAGAGTGGATGGACATTTTGTGGACAATACTTTAGCATGGTTTATATATATACAAAGAGTTTCTATAACTACTTATGTTAATCAGGTGCCTAACAAGTATGACAGTTCCAGAATTTAAGCAAGGCATTTTTCCATTGTTGTTCAAAAATAATAAAAATCTTCCTTGGTAACAGAATTAGAGATGACAAAGATTGCATCAAAAGTAAGAAGACAACCTTCATAGCACATTGAGCCTGGCAAGCAAATCTAGTTTGTGATCAAAATCTGGAGATGTTCATCTCCCCCTTTGTCTAAATTAGAATGGATATTTGTGCTGACCTCGTGCATCCAGCCAGCCCAACAACTTTTGCAAATTCTGATTGGAAAATGCCTGCTCCAAGTCTTATATCACTTTTCTGGCACGTCAGTAATTCATGTGCTTAAGTGGTGACAAGTCCTGCAGGAATGCCAAGAAAAAACTTTGAAATTTGACCAAATGGACAAACTTAATTCTGTAGCAAGAATCTTAATATCATAATAGACCTGCATAGTGTTACATTGCAATATAGTACACCCAGAAAAAAACAGAAATAAAATGCTCTTTTGTAATAATGACCATTGTCAGACTGCAATGTGATTATTTGTTTGGGAAGCACTTTGTTTCTGGGTTACCTAAAGATCAAACCATCTTTTGGGTTTGGTGCCTTGGGAGGGAAATCAAGAAAATATGCCTAAAAAGACATCGTTATCCTTGACAGGATTTACAAGCTGCATGGTCTCCATTCCTGTGCACCTCCTTCCACTGCCTGACTCCAGCAGCCAGCAAAATGGCCAGGAAAAAAGCCATTCCTGCTGGAGCAACTCCCCCACTCTGGTTTCTGTGCTCTGCCACGGCTTGGGGGGTATTTTGGGAGCCCTGCCAGCCAGGGGTGGGAGGGCTCCTTCCCCCCCCCCCCCCCCCCCATCATGTGCCTGTGCTGCCAGGGGGATGGTGCCGTCACTCCTTGCATCTGACACACTCCCCCATAAATCTGAGGAGATTTGGACATTGCTCCAAAGGCAGTTGGGCTGCCTGCATTTGGTATAGGATGTTTTCCTCATTTCAGTTTTTTTAAGTTGTAAGGAATAATGTGTTTCAGTTTTGGTGTTTCATACCAAGACAGCACTGTCCTGCCAAGATGGAGCAGGAATTACTTTCTCTCTGGTGCTTGCGGTCCCAGAGGAGGGAGGAGAGTGGTGAACACAGCAGCCTGAGTTGACTTTGCCTTTGGGTGAGCCCTGGCAGGGGGCTGGCACGGGGATGTGCTGCCCCTGCAGTGGCATGCAGGCAGAGGCTGGGAATGCTGCAGGAGTATGGACACAGGAGGGGGTCTGACAAGAGGGTGAGGATGGGCCCCTCAGTGTCTTCCCTGCTGGGGCAGTGGCAGGACAGGGCCCTGGGTGTCCCACCAGCAGGGCAGCTCAGCACAGCAGCTCTCTGCAGGTCCACCTCCACCTGTGGATGCCTGGCACACCAGGCTCAGCTCCTGATTTCCCATCACACGGGCTGCCCATCACCGGGCCCTTCTCTGTTACACTGGATGCAGAGCACCTGAGGGACAGATCTGGGCTGGACCTGCCCTGTTCCCCCTGGGATTGAGAACTTTGGTGTGTCATGGGGGAACATGAGATTGGCAGACGTGCAGTGAATGGCAATGGCCCCAGAGCTTCCACATAAGGAAGCCCAGAGCAGCGTGAGGACCTCACTCTGGTCCTCTGGCTCCAGGCACACATTTAAAGGAGCTTGTGCTGGCAGGGAAGTTGTTTTTAAAAATGCAATACTGTCAAAGAGTGAATTAATCATGAGCAGTGGGGTTTGATGGCTTTTGGTGGGGGCTAGGTTCCCAGGTACCACCATGGGGAGCACTGGCAAGGTGTGTGATCCCAGGGGTGGAGTAACACACCTGCATTACAGGCACTCTTGAACCATTCTACTAAGAATGATTTTATCGGTCCATCCTCTCCCCTGCTGCCAAGCTCAGGAAGATGCACCTAAAGCAGTGGGTCTGAGGACCACATCCTGTGACAGGTGGCAGTGGCATGGACACTGAGAATGGTCATGGCAAGATGGGGCTTCCTTCCAAACCTCTCCCAATGGGCCAAATGGGACATGAGTGACCGTGTCTCTTTACAGTGCTGCAATTACATGAAAGGCAGACCTGTGCTACTTCAGGTCCCTCTGGAACCTGACAGAGGTGGCAAGGGAATTCAGGACTTCCAGATGCACCAAGAGCCACAGAGCACCCAGAGATTTCAACAAGCATTCCCTTTGTAGTGAATGTGTTGTTCTGGCCTGGTATGATATGCTGGAGCACAGACTAACTTGATTAGTTGTGCTTTTACATTGCTGGAGTAAGAGAGCTACTAAACTGTCTGTTAGAGGAATTTTGTCACATGAATTTTATGAACTGTGGTAAATAAGTGTTGATGTTTTTCTGAATTAAAATTGAATTTAAATGTAACCCTTGTCTCTTGCCAGCTGGGGTCATGTGGCACTGTTGGACTGGCTTGTGGAGACTGCCTGCAGTTCTATTTATTTAGTAAAATATTTTGGCAAAGCTCTGGCATCCTGTTTCCTTGCTGTGAGCAGAGAGAAGAAAGTCGTTTAAGTAGCACAAAACTCCAGTACAGTCACAAGGTTATCCTTAGGATCAAGTTTTTGGCTATATCTAGGAGCTAGATGAGTTCAGAACAAGTTGCAAACAAAAC